TATTGCCTGAATTTATTTATCTTCAAGTCAGTGCCTCATTATTTGAATTTATTAAGTGCCAGCAAGTTTTCATTAAAAATCAACCACATTGATGAATTTCTTATTTTGAACAGGCGAAAGTTTGATCTTAAGTAAAAAATCTTCTGAATCTTACTCAGGTGTAAAAAGTATGTATTAAACTTGAACTCAAGTTGCCAAATCACCCCTGGTCAGCTTCTGACCTAGCATATTATTTCTCCCACTGTTCCACACATCTTGCACTGTAATCAAATTTACCTGGACAATACTGTGTTTTCTTACCTCAAAACTTTAGCACATGTACTTCATTCACATGGACATTTATTTGGTGCTCCATATCCCTGTCTCAGTAGTTCCTATTTGCTACAAAGTCCATGCTATACATTAAATTTTTTTTATACATTAAATTTTTGTTGGATCAAAAAAAATTTTTGTTGGATCTCCCTGGTAGAAGTGATTTTTAGCTGCTCAGGATTTGCATAGTGCTTCAAAAACATCATCTTGCCTTGTGTTGTTATGTTCATATTGTAAAGGACCTTTCTGAAACTTGGGTGCTAAGATTTAGGTTGTTTATATTCCTCACACTGAGTGTAGTGCCTTTCACCTAGTAGTTTACAAAAATGAAGGAGTAAAACATACAGGAGACATCTTGCCTATACCTTATTATATGTGAGATGGTTATAACAATGAGGGGAGTAGAAACTGCTCTGGGAATATGTAGGAGAAAATTAACTACTCAGGCAGAAGGAGAGAACTAGTGTGGAATGAAGGTCTAAGAGGAGGTAAATCTCTTCCTTTGAAGCAACAGGGAAGAAGGAAAGAATTGATGTGTGAGTAGGCTTGTATATTTGACTAAAGGATATTTAATCTGATGACTTTTACTTCATTTGTGGAGTAGAAGTTAAGATTATCTTCTTTGAGACAGGAGGATGTAGGATAAAAGAGAGATGAGAAAATAGGAGAAGCCATTGTAGAAAATCAGTGAATTGAAGGAAAAAAACACAGTAGTAAGACAGTGGGGACAGCGCTGAGTATGCACTTGAAATTGGTGGCTTTGCATTGACAGTGCTCTATTTCCATGTGACATTTTCTGAGAGTGTTTGGCAATTCAAGGGAAGTGGTGTTTTAGGGTAGAGCTGGATTTCCATTTAGTCAAACAAGTTGAGGGAATTTTCAGTGAAATTGTTAGAAAAAACTTAGAGCCATTAAGAGTCCAAGTTTCCTTCTGTTCCAAGGAGATGGATGTAGCTATGATGTTTATCATCTATCCCATAGCACAATAGTAGTTTTCAACTCTTACCAGCTGTTGACACCCATCAACCCCACTCCTGGGAGTAGTTCGTTCTTTCTCTCTTCTGGATCCTTCCTCTTATACACTGGTAGATACAGTCAAGAAAGGAGAAAACTCGGGTGTGATGGCACATTTACACATCGTGTCTCCAGATGGAAGCTGTGAAACCAGAACTCCAGCACTTTGGAACAACTGAGAAAGTGTGGAAGTCTAGTAATCTCATCACAAGAAATATCTTAAATAAATTCAATGTCATCATTATTACAAAGCACAAAAGAACTCTCCGTGGCTGACGTTAAGCAATAGTCCTCATCTGCAATCCAAAGAAACTGAATAAGCACTTGGGCAACATCAGACACAAATCTCTTATTAGTGCAAGCATATGTTTTTCTTTCTTAGGATATGGTAATGTGTTGAGTCCGTTTTAATAGAGCCACAAGTTCTTATTCAGAGGATTTAGCATCTCAGTAGCATAATAAGCATGGCATTCCCCTTCTGAACTTGTCAACATACCAAAAGTATGTTTCCTATTCACTTTCCCAGACATCATAGTATATTGCTTAACATCTGGAAATAGAAAAGTGTAAGGTTTAATTTAAAATTCTTTGATTATACTTCCACCTGGTAAGTACAGTACCAAAGCCTGTTTATTTTAAAGACATGCTTAGATTTTGCCTACATTCTTAGGACACCTTTGTTCCCCCCCCTTTTTTGTTTTACTCAGAACTAAGCTAAATATGGCATATATTCTCTTATTCTTACATAGCACATGTTTATTCTTTAGAATTTGGCTGTGAATATACATAATCCTTGCTGGTCCTTTTGCAAGGAATGGAATTTCTAGGATTTGGTGCTAAATTCCAAGTTTCAATCTTCAAAAACCCCAGACTTTAAGTAGGAATGCATATTATTCAAAATAAAGTACTTCCCAATCATAACAAAGACTTTGCAATTGGAAATAGGGACTTGCCAAAGCTCATTAATTTCTCTGTTGCCCTCTTTTTCTCAGGCGCTAATCAAAAAGTGGTTTTGAACTTAAATTGAAAGTTAAGCAAAACACAATGGAATCAGGCCTACCATAATTTCAGCCTTTCTGTGAGGAACGAGGCTAGCTAGAATTACAGATTTTCTTTTTCTTTTTAAATATTCATAGAGAAACGGATTTTTTTGAAAATCACCCTAAGTGTTTTGAGTTAGAATAAGATAGCTAGGCTCCTTGACTGAAGATATTTACATAATTGTTTAAATTTAGATGCTTTAGGGATTATTTTATTAAGGAGTTGTTTACCAAATAGTCAATCTAATGAGGTTTCCACTGAAAATGTACAATCACAATGGATCATAATAGTATGATATAGGAACAAACAATGACCTGGCATTTTACTAAAATATAGGTCCTTGTAATCAAAGTGCTATAGTTTAATGAACCCAAGATTTTCTAGATGCTTTATTGTTCCTTGAAAGTGATGAAATCCTGACAGAGGAGGACCTCAAAGCAAATATAAATATAAATATAAGTACAAATATAAATAAATACCCTGGAGGCTTTGACAGTAAGACACCATCTTTTGGGGGCACCTGGGTGGCTCAGTGGTTGAGTGTCTGCCTCTGGCTCAGGTCGTGATCTGGGGGGGCCTGGGATTGAGTCCTGTATCAGGCTCCCTGCAGGAAGCCTGCTTCTCCCTCTGCCTGTATCTCTGCCTCTCTCTCTCTCTCTCTGTGTCTCTCACAAATAAATATATAAAATCTTAAAACAAAAGCCCAACTTTTTAGTAGTGCATGATCATCATTTAAAGCCATTTTTATTGTATACTACTCTTATTCAAGTTCATGATTACTACCTTTTGCAAACTCTTCAAGCTAGCATTCAAAGCCTTCCTACTAAGTTTCTTTTCCTAGGAAGCTTCTTTTTCTCTATTCTCACCTGCCCTCTCATAACATCAAAACAATGTGCAGCTTTCCCCTACACAGACTCTAATCTTTCTTGCCTCCACATCTTGGAATATACCATCCTTTTTTACTCTGGTTATCTATTCTAAGTCCATGCTCCCTCTCACAGTTGGATACATATTTTTCTAATAAACCAAAAAACAGCTTTCATAATTAATTCCATGTGGCTCTTCAAACCTCTATTCACCTCCGCTTTCCTTTGTGGGTAAACAGGAGTATTAAGTGATGTTGCTATTTTTATCTTTACGATTTCCACCAATCCATTTAGATTCACTGTGTCTCTATATTGAGAATAATGCTAATATTGCCTTTTGAGTGGGTTTGTTGACAAACAAGACAATGCATAGGAAGTATTTAGAACAGAACTGGCACATGGTAGTCTTAATAAATATTCTTATACTAAACCAAATACTTGTATTTTCTGTATGTGGTAAGTGGCTGAGACTTCTCTAAGCCTTTGCTTGTGCTCAGTTCACGCAGAATAATGCTTCTTTCAGGAGTGACTTTAAGGAGTCACTTTTCTATTCGCTATACCTATTCTCTAGATGGTAGAGAATATTGAGACTTATATCTCTTGTCAATTAGGACATCTTAAGTCACATGGATTTCTTCTCATTCTTGAGCTATTTGAATTTTCATATCTTTTTAGATATTAGATGATGTCAAGCTGTTAGTGGTTGTTAACTGTAGCACAAATACTAGTTAAAGATGTGACCAATCTGTGGCGCTTATGACAGTGTTTGGCATACAGGAAGGGTTCAATAAATAATTGCTATTATTGTTGTTTTGTAGTGTTTTGTTTTTTAAATAGGCTCCCCCAACATAAGGCTTCAACCCATCACCCAGAGATCAAGAGTTGCATGCTCTACAACTCTTGAACCAGTCCAGCAACCTTCTTTTTTTGTTGTTCTATTTTGAGTGCTCAAGGTTTCTCTATCCTTTCTGTTCTTCTGAAATCAATGATTAAATTGCATTAAAAGGGGCACGTGAGTGGCTCAGCCGGTTAAGCATCTGCCTTCGGCTCAGGTCATGTTCCCGGGGTCCTATGGAGTCTGCTTCTCTCTCTCTTCCACTGCCCTTCCACCCTTCTCCTGTGTGCTCTTTTCTCAAATAAAACCTTTTAAAATAAATCGCATTAAAAAGTCTAAATGCCTTTTAAAATACTTCAGGATATTTTCATTAATCACAAAACAAGTCAGTGAACTTAGAGATTATTGTGTCTGTATCACGTAAAATCTGTACATCTGTGACACCCTAACTTTTGAGATGAGCTTTTCAAATTGGGAAAGCTGACTGCCAAGTATTTTAACAGATATTTTCATTAAAGGAAAACTTTTTTTTTTACACCCCTGATCATCTTCAAAATCAATTCAAAAGATCTTAAAGAGCAATTACCACAGGCTGAGTATTGTACTATATGTCAATCTGCAAACGGTTTGTAAAATATTAAAATCCAAATATGAAATCTGAAAAGTTTTGCCAGCTGTCAGGCTGGATTTCTTTTTCTTTTCTTTCTTTCTTTCTTTCTTTCTTTCTTTCTTTCTTTCTTTCTTCTTTCTTTCTTTCTTTCTTTCATGTATTTATTTATTTATTTTTGACGCTGGATTACTTTAAATCCGTTTTAAAGACGCAAAACTTTTTCTAAAGGAAAAGTCCTTACTAAAAACCTTCACTTTCTAATTTTCCAGATATTTTGCCCTTTAAGAACGGAAGCTTCAACGAAAGCAGTCTTTTACTGTGTGGTTTTTGAAACTCAACAAAAGTCCAAAAAACAACCGCTTCGGGCCAGAAGAGGTCTTCAAAGATATTTTCACCGAGTTCTTCTAATCCGGAAACAAATTCTTCCTCATACGCAAGCATCAGCAGTAATTTGTCTTTAAGGCATCGCCTCCAAAGATAATCTGATCATCAAACATCGTTACCGTGTTTGGATCCAAGGCCCTGCCCACAGGCCTGCGAGGAGACACGCTTCTTGCAGGCCCAGACCTCCGCGCACTTGAGCGCTGACCTTGGCATTTCCGCCCCGCGTTAAGGTCAGCGGCGACGTCCCCACGCCCCGGCAGTCTCGGGGCTTTTTATTTCGTGTTGCCAGCGGCACCGCTCACGTGACCCCACGCTTCGCCGAGGTCTGAGTCAGCTGACCGGCGCCCACCGACGTCGCAGCGGGTGATCTGAGAGCGGGTTCCCGGAGTTGGAGGGAAACTCGAAACTCGGAGCAAACCGCGGGGCGGGATCGACGGCCGAGGCGCCGCGCGGGTTCCGTCCGACTGAGGGGAAGACGCCCAGGGCGGAACGTCCGGCGCGGCCCCCGCGCGTGCGTCGCTAGGGACGCTTTGGCCGAGGCACCGCGATGGATCAGGACGAGGGCCTGACGGCCGTGGACAACGTAGTCGCTCAGTTCGACACCTATGAGGACTTCCTCGACTCGCAGATCACTACGGTGGACCTGTACTACCTGGAGGTAAGGGTCGCGGCGCCGCACGGCGACCCCGCCTCCGCCCCCCCCCCCCGGGCCTCTGTCACGGCCCTCCCGGGCGCCCGCGGCGTGCGGTGAGCGCCCCCCGGCGGCCGACCCCGGCCAGGTCGGGCTCCGCAGCCCGCGGCGCCGGAGCCGAGGCGCCCGTCCCTCCGCCGCGCGCGGCCTCCGAGTGTGCGAACTCCTGCCCCTCGTGGAGGCGGAGGCCGGCGCGCGAACACGCGGGGACCCTCGGCATCCGCAGGCGCTCGCCCCGTGCGGCCTCCCGGGCCGCCCCTTCCGAGTCCCTGCGTGCCAGGACGGGAGACCGCATCGACGACCTGCGGAGCCCCTGGCGCTGGGCTGTAGTTCAGGCCCGGCGCGCCGTTTCTCTTTGCTTTGCCAATTTGTGTTAGAGCACAGAAGACAGTATCCTTCCAGGGCGAGAGGCGACACCAACCTGGTGCGCGTACCTGCTGTTTCATGGGGCATCTGGGTTTATGAACTTCCACCCCGCGCCAGTTGGTTCAGAAAGCCCCTTAATTACGGATGCGCAGTACAGGTCGCCGTGCAGATTCCTGACGTTGATGGGGTAGAGAGTTGAAACTAACGTTGGTAGTTAAAAAAAAAGAAGAAGAAGAAGAAGAAGAGGAAGAGGAGGAAGAGGAAGAGGAAGAAGGAGAAGGAGAAGAAGAAGAAGAATCCTGCTCTACTGCAGAATTAGACGTCATGGGATTGCCTGCTGTCCTCCACGCAGCAACCGTCTTCCTCCCTGCGTCTTTACAGGTGTGTGCTTGATGCGGGGATGATGGGATGCGGGCGGGGTAGAGAGCTCTTGTCCTCGGCGAGGAGAACCAGGATGGGCAGGAAGATAATAGGCCACAGGGTCCTGAGAGGCGGGACGTGAACCGTGGACCCCTCTAGCCCTGGGATATTGCCAGACGAGGCCGACGGAATGGGGCACTGCCCTGGGGATTCTACCGTCCTGGAGCCAAGACACAACCCCAGATCGCCTCCTCCCTATTTAGGCCAGACAGAGCGAACGCCGCTGTGTGGTGCCAAGTCACAGTGCAGTCTGTGAACGATTTGGATCCTGCAGTCAACTCCCCAAACTCTGTATCTGTAGCAACATGATTCTGCAGTTTAGTGCATTGAAATTTTTGCACTCCAAAGATCACGTTAAGCATGATTTTATGTAAATGTGAATTGCAAGGTTTGTTCTTATTTTCCAAGACACATTCAGGTGCTAGATATGAATATAGTTTTTAAGAAGTAGAAGCGTCTAATTCTACTCCTACTCACAAGTTCTGTGACCTTGGACAATAATTTGATCTTTCTGGAATTATCTGTTAAAAAAGTACATCCAGGAGATACTTACAACATAGCTTTTGATTTTAGATCAGACAAGATTTTTGATATTTTATATAGTTAGTATGCTTAAAGTCACGAGTGCCTCGCATCTAAGACACTAAAATGAAGATTGAAAGGTAATGGTACTAAACAATATTTGCATCCACATATTTGCGTGTCTAAATAAACACCAATGAAATATGGATAATTTTGATTAAGATGTTTATTATCTTCATATCACATGTGAAAAATTGTTAAGCTTAAGCCTAGTATCATTAAGCAGGGTTTCAAGTTTTTTTTAAGGTAGAGTTCTACATGTAAGAATTAAAAATATTAATGTTAATTAGGAGTGAGAAATTAATACTTTTTTGTTTCATCAAGCAGAACTTTAAAGGTCTCTACAATGGAAAATTGTAGCTGTATTTGGGGAAATGATAAGGAATTTTACTTAAAATTTGGTCTGGCTTAGCTTACTCTTACTGTACTTTCATAGAAGATAAAGATTTAATTAATAAGGCAAGTATATATATTTTGGATTGGGTAATGAAAATTTTTAAGTGTCCTTTGCTCTGGGGACTTATATTCTCAATTACTTCCTGTGGAAGCAAGTTCATTTCTCACTTAGAGACAAGTGGACTCTTCAGGATTGGTTCAGTAGTATGGATACTACAGCAGATATGTGCCATGGATTATGGATCACACTTTGTGAGGTGATTCTTACACTGTGTGTGTTTGTGTGTATGTGTGTTTTGGTAATCAGTAATTGACTTTGATGTGAAAGAAGCAAATTTTAAATGGTAAATGGGAGACGGCAAATTTTAGTCAGAAGAGCCTAGAGTCATAAGATTTGGGTTCTAATTCTGTATTGTGTTTTAACCAGTTTGAAACTCCATTTCCTCCTCCGTATATTGAAGGGCCTGGATTAGATAACATTCAAGGTTATGTGTGTAAAAATTTATGAGTTATCTCTATAGCCATCTGTCCATCTAGGCATCCATGTATTCATCCAACCATCTAATCAATAAACCTTCAGTGGGAGCCTACTGTAGTAGATAGTGCCTTGATTCTAGGAATTTAAGAATCAGTTCTAGTCACCTGATTTTAGAATTGTACTTGCAGTTCAGTCTAACTTTTATTTATTCAGCAAACATTTTCCAAGTATTTATTAACTTACAGTTACTCTTCTGTTATATAGAATATTATTCTCTGGCTATAAGTTTTCAGTTGATTTCAGTAAAAGTTAGTACCAATGCTTCACATACAAAGTGGCCATATTATCTTTGCTGCATTCTCTATTCTTTTCCACCTTATGTGTGTTCCTAGAAGCTGTCCTTTGCAGTCTTTAACCAGGCTCTTTTCCTTTGGCTTTGGCTTTGTTTCAGACAATATGAGATCAGAGGGCAGGAAGAGAGGTGTTAGAGAATTTATTACCTCTCATCTTCCTACTGGTTGTGGCTTGGAAGTGGCTGCATTTCTTAGGTTTGGCCAGCTCCTTATTCCATCAACTACAGCATTCTTTCCTGGGGCTGGCAGCACTCTCTGTTCTAGGAACTGTTTCCTCTCCATCTCCTTTTAGGGCCTAATGGTGTTAGTGACCTCCCACTGTTACTAGCCCAACGATATTACATCATCCTATGCTGGTTTCCATTAATCTTGTGATATCTTTGTAAATTGTGCTTTTATTCTTTTTAATTATCTCTTTGAGTTTGCCTACGATGATCCTAACTTCTGTATTATCATTTAACATCTTAAATCTCTGTAAGTGTACAGGTAGTATATGTATATACTAACCACAATGTTTTTTTTTTTTATATGATTAGGATTAGGAAGGAAGATGCTCACTTTTGCAGCACATATTCTAAAATAAGAGTAGGAAGGAAGGGACGTACGCAATAAAAATGAAGACCTGTACCAGTTAACTATTTGATGAGTTGGAGAGGAGTAAAGGTAGGTTAAGGAGAATAAAAGAGGCTCTTCATTCTCTGTCTACTGTGCTTTGCTCATTTTACTGGATGATACCTATAAACCATGACATTTATAACAGTATCAGCAATTAGATTTAACTCTGCTAACCCAAATAACAGTAATTCAAATAACACCTCCTTTATTCTAGGAGCTAGTGTTACCTTAAACTGATTAAACCAATCATTAAATGGATATAAAAGTACTTAAAAATTTTTGGCAAATTTTTTTGCACTGTGATTTTCCAGATTCTTTCTTGGTAGTTTTAACATTTTGAGTAAACACATTTATCCCTTCATTTCACTGGTGGTTGCCTGTGGCCAGTAGAGAACCAAAAAGGGCTATTGAATTGCTTTTTCCAGATAAGGAATCAAAGGATGTTTTTAGAATTATTTTTAAATTTTCCTGACTAATGCATTGTAGTTATGGCTAAATTACTTGTAGAGACTAGCAATGTCAGGGTTTTATTTTGAGATTATCTTTCTATTATTTAGAAAATAGAAATCACACAAACTAAACCTTTTGGACAAAATCTTATGTAGCAGACACTGATTAAGTGAGATTTCAGGAAAAATCCAGTAGCACAATTTATTATACAGTAAGCCACCTAATAACCAACCAGTATTTATTGCATTTTCCCAGTATTTATTGGATCAGGTACAGGGTAGATGATCCCTATAAAATATCATATTTCATGCATTTCAGAATCAGCTGTTGTCTTTTGTTGATTCAGTAGGAGAAAAATTGACATAAATTAATTTCTCTCTGCTTAAGAGGACTTCTACATTTTTCCTTCGGTAGGTTCATAGAGGTACTTATCTTTATTTATTTATTTATTTATTTATTTTTGTAATAATAAATTTATTTTTTATTGGTGTTCAATTTGCCAGCATACAGAATAACACCCAGTGCTCATCCCGTCAAGTGCCCCCCTCAGTGCCCATCACCCATTCACCCCCACCCCCCGCCCTCCTCCCCTTCCACCACCCCTAGTTCGTTTCCCAGAGTTAGTAGTCTTTATGTTCTGTCTCCCTTTCTGATATTTCCCACACATTTCTTCTCCCTTCCCTTATATTCCCTTTCACTTTGTTTATATTCCCCCAATGAATGAGAACATACAATGTTTGTGCTTCTCTGACTGACTTACTTCACTCAGCATAATACCCTCCAGTTCCATCCACATTGAAGCAAATGGTGGGTATTTGTCGTTTCTAATGGCTGAGGAATATTCCATTGTATACATAAACCACATCTTCTTTATCCATTCATCTTTTGATGGACACCGAGGCTCCTTCCACAGTTTGGCTATTGTGGACATTGCTGCTATAAACATCGGGGTGCAGGTGTCCCGGCGTTTCATTGCATCTGAATCTTCGGGGTAAATCCCCAACAGTGCAATTGCTGAGTCGTAGGGCAGGTCTATTTTTAACTCTTTGAGGAACCTCCACACAGTTTTCCAGAGTGGCTGCACCAGTTCACATTCCCACCAACAGTGTAAGAGGGTTCCCTTTTTTCCGCATCCTCTCCAACATTTGTTGTTTCCTGCCTTGTTAATTTTCCCCATTCTCACTGGTGTGAGGTGGTATCTCATTGTGGTTTTGATTTGTATTTCCCTGATGGCAAGTGACGCAGAGCATTTTCTCATGTGTATGTTGGCCATGTCTATGTCTTCCTCTGTGAGATTTCTCTTCATG